TGAAACAGATGAAACAGATGAAACAGATGAAACAGATGAAACAGATGAAACAGATGAAACAGATGAAACAGATATTCGAAAATCCTCCACAATTTCCAGGGAGGAGCGAAAAGCCGCTCAAAAAAATCTCCTTGACATAGTTAAGGAAATAACAAAAGACGGAAGTGAGGTTGTCTTTGAAGATAAAATTAATGAATTGAAAAAACGATGTGAGGAATACGAAAACAAGGCCAAGGCAGACGGTCAAAAAAGCGAAAAGTATAATGCCTACATAAATAGACTTTTAGATAGAGCAGTTGAAAGAAATAGACGATTAACGGCCATACATAAATATAAAGAGGAACGGGGAGCCGCCGAGCGAGAACAATTGAAATGAGAAAAAAAGATTTTGGAACATGAAAATAAGGAATTAAAAGAAATTTTAGCCGCAGCGGAAAAAAAACACCCTGACCTGAAAAGCCACCGCCGCACGAGCAGCGGAATTTCTCTTTCTTCGGGTTTCAGCACCCCATTTTTCGTTGATAGTAGACCAGGCACCCCACTAGCCAGCCCAGAGGGCAGTCCAATTGAAAAAGATCCGACGCTGAAAATGATGGATGACGAACTGCAAAAATTGAGAAAAGAACATGAGGAGGAGACGGCAAAATTACAAGCGGAACACGAAAAAGCAGTAGAGGAGTTAAAACGGCAATTAGCCGCTAAAAACAAACCTCAACCAGAGGAAGGAGAAAAATGTAATATTTTAAGTCATACGTTATTAGAAAATCGCATTAAGGACTTAAAAAAGGAAATAGAAAAAAAAGAAGAACTAATCGATAAATTGTTAGCACGAGATATTGATAAAGGATGATTGACCGACGATAATATCGCATATATTCTCAAAAATAGTAGTATTGTTAAAAGGTGGCTCAAAATACGAAATGAACCATGAGGCAAAAAGGAGAGGAATTGAGAAGTCCGCACCGATTTAGCCAACATTTACAATTCTTTTTACAAGAGCAAAAACAACTTGGAGTGGGATTTGCCGGAATTTTTGAAAGAAATGGAGTTAGACAAGCACAAAAACACTATTTTTCCTGTGCGAGTTTCCGGAAATCATTGAGGCCTTTTTGTGATAGAAGAGGATGAAAAAAAAGTAGTTGGTAATGGTGGAATTTTGGAATTAAAACCAGAAACCAAAGTTTATTATACTTCGTCGGGTGCGGAAGTAAAAAATGAAGTTAAACAAATTAAGCCGCTAATCGAGCAGATAGTAGGAGAAAAAGCAGCCAAAAATATTCAAATAATTAAGGGTCCAAAACAAACAAATGGCTATGATTGTGGGGTTTATCTGATAAAATACATTGAGGAATTGTTAAGAGTTGGCAGATTAGAATTAAATAAAGTAGGTAATTTTGCAGG